GATGCCCAGCTGCTGCAGGCGTTCAAGCTCCTCCTCGACCTTGCCTTTCATGGCATACGGCACAGGTCTGGGCTTAAAAAACCGTGGTGTAGCCTCAGGGTCAACATGCAGCTTCACTGTAACCCCTTTCAGCATACCCAACTCATCTCTGAAAACATCACTGTACTTCTGCAGAATGGTTTCAGTTGACATAGGTGCGGTAGCATACTTTATGTCATGCCAGTTCAGCCTGATTTTGCGGAGCCAATCCCGGCCCAAAAGACTAGGTCCACCCCCTTTTGCAACCACCAGCCTTGCTCTTGCTCTCTGACCTTCAGCTGCAATGTCCACGAAGAGCACTCCTATATGTGGAATGGGCTGCCCTGTATAAGTCCTGAGCCTGAGCTTTGATGGGTGAATGGGAGGTAGGTCAGACTGCCACGTCCGCTTGTACGTTTCCTCACTGATAACTGATGCTGTAGCCCCAGAATCAATCTCAAACTTAATGTCCTGCCCACTGACTTTGACTGTGGCATAATAGGGCTCTGGCGGTGTATCAACAGTCTCGTCGCCCTCTGCTTCAACTCCAAACATATTATAGGCACACACAGCATCCATGTCCTCCTCCTTGAGGTGATATGTGTCAGCCTGTTGGGCTTTTGCTCGTGTTAGTTTGCCTTTCCCCTTTGAGCTCCTGCACTTTTTAGCTAAATGTCCCTTTTTATTACATGCATGGCAAACAGCATCTTTAAATTTACAGTCATTTGCAAAGTGTGGTCCTCCACACCGAAAACATTCCACTAGTTTTGTGCCTTTAACAGCCTCTTTATCAGATTCTCTCCGGATCTGGTGCACTTGTACCATCTGTGACCCTCCATGTCCTTTCTGAATGTCTTTGGCATTGTTCGCAGCCATCTCCATATCTTGGGAAATTTCTAGTGCTTTTTGGAAAGACAAAGGTGGGGCTTCTCCGAGCAGGCGGCGCTGTATGGCCTCATTATTTATTCCGCAAACCAGCCTGTCACGGAGCATATCATCTAATACTGTCCCAAAGTCACAATGCTCTGACAACTGTCGAAGCTCAGCTACAAAGTTAGCTATAGACTGTCCAGGCTTCCTAAAATGACTGTGAAATTTAAACCGCTGGACTATCACTGAGGGCTTGGGGTTGTGGTGGTTACTCACGAGTTGGACAAGTTCAGCATACGGGATCTCCCCCGGTTTCCGTGGCGTGGCCAAGTTCCTTATGAGCCTATACGTCCTTGCCCCGCACACACTCAGGAGAATAGAGCGCTTCTTTGCCTCTTCCGTAATCCCATTAGCAAGGAAAAAGTGTCCCAACCTCTCCTCANTCACAGGGCTACACTTAGAGACAGACAACCAAGCACACTCACATTCACATCTACAGACAATTTAGAATCACCAACATGTTTTTAGACTGTGTGGGAGGAAGCCAGAGAGCCCATGCTGCATGGGGAGAACATGTAAACTTCACGCAGAAAGATCCCAGGTGTCCTCACGGGGACGGGAACCGATGACCTTCTAGCTGCACGGCAACAGTGCTAACCACCAAGCCACCATGCAGACCTGAAGAGGGAGATTGATTTTGGTTCTAAATCAAAAATAATAAAAATAAAAATACATTTGAAAAAAAGTACAGATTTGAGGATATAAAGGCAAAGCTTGTGCTAAGAGGTCAAAAATAAGATAAAAGTCCATATAAAAGCCAAAAAGTTTAAATTTTAAGATTTTTAATTTTTTTTTAAACTGTTAATCCATATATTTTTTTAAAACTATCTTTAATTATTTAAATTATTTATCAGCAAATTTAAGGCTTTTTCAGCCAACAATCCGCTACATTTAGCTTATTGAGTCATTGATTAAAGGAATCGTGTTTCAACCATGTATACACTGCTTTTTTTTTTAAGCACTTATTCTTACTTTACCAACTAAAAAACCTGACACCATTGAACAGCTACCATTTAGCTAACACTTCTGCACCACTTATTGTAATTTTAAACATTTCATCCCTTTTAGCATTTTCACCATCACTTTAATTTCTCTAATACTCTTGGGCAACACTTAAAACCATTACTTTCTGATAACAGTGAAGGCTTTTCTTCTGACCCACTCTTCATAACAGCATGTTGTTGTATTTTTTTTAAATTCATTTTGTAATTTGTGTTTTTGCAGACAGGTTTAGCTAATGTTTGTGCATACCCCAGGCTATTGTAGTACCCCCTGTGGTACAGGCTTCCCTGGTTCAAAGGAAGCAGCCTGAACACAATTTATTATGAAGCTGGTCAGACCTGATGTGCTGCCTGGGTCTCAGCTTGTGTTTCACCGTTGAGTGGCATCATTAATGAGATTCACTGATCGTCCCAGCTGCTGACCTCTGACTTCTGGGAGGAGCCACCTATCTGTGAGCCTACAAGGACACATAAATACAAATGAAACCTCTGCTTCTGATTAGAGGTCCAGTTCAAAGTCACTTGATGACCTCAGAGTGTGAGCCAGACTGATCTGAGGTCTCTGACATCATTTCATCCTCTCACTTTAAATGAGTGCAACACATTCGGTGCATAAAACCAAATGTCATACAAATGCAAATATTGATTAGACAATGATTGAAGGTTAAAATTAGGTTTGACAAAAGATTATGGCCCAAATGTAGTCACATTATAGTGTGCTGAAACTTGTGCTTTGCAAAGACAGTAAAAAATGTTAGCAAATTTTAAAAGAAGTCAATATTTTAAACTTTTTTATTATTAGTAGTTATATTATTTAATTCAACTTTTTGTTTATTATTATTCAACAGTTTTTATTTCATTTTAAGATGAAAGTGTTATCTATTTTTTTTGTTTCCTTGTTTCCCTTGTGAAGAAAATGTACAATTCAATAAATATAAGATTAAAAATCACAATAAAAAATGACAAATAAGAATGCACACTTTAAACAAAAGCGTTGAAGAGTATGTAATTCTAAAATAGTGTGTTTTTACAAGGAAGTTCCCCTAAACACAAAACACATTTTTTGGTATCAAAATAAAACCAATTTATGCTGAAGTTAGCTAAGTGCAGATAAACTTGATGGTGACAAACATTTATGAAACATGATGCTGTACTCACAAATGTCTTCAGTGATATGAACCTTCTTTCCACCAGAAGTATTTACGCGGTGAATTAAGAGACATATTTGAGGAAAACAGGCAAACTCTGTCTTGATTCTACGCCACGTTGACCTCTTCAATTCAAAACCCATCCATCCCATCAGTGTCACAGCAGAGGCCTGAGGCCCTGAAACTTAGATAATTAACACAACTCAAATCTAAAAGGTTGCGAGACTGAAGGAGAAAACGTGCAGAGGTAAATAAGGATGGGGAATAGGGCCAGTAGTAGTAGAATGTGCTGCTGTGGAAGATACGAGTAACAACGGCTTCATTACAAACTTGGAGCCAACAGGCTGCAGCTCCAGAGGACACTGGCTACAGGCCCAGAGACAGAGCCACAGTTTCTACAGGGATGCTTAGACTGATGCCATGACTCATACTGGGGTGGCATAATGTGTTGGTCATTTTTTAAAAATGTTTTTTGGTCACTTACTCTTATAATTTGCTTTTGTAGACAAGACTGCCATGTAGGAGTACATTAGAACTCCCACACAGCATAATAAGCTCTAAATGTAACCCTAGAAATCAGAAACAGCTGCTAAAGTTGTGCTTTTTTTAATAGTTGATAAAACTCACAAATACAATTCAAAATACAAGTCAGAATCTTAGTGTCCTTGTTGTACTTGCTGGCTCAGCCTGGTTCTTCCAGAGGTTCCCCCTTTCTGTCACAGTGGTGGGGTAGCTGTAGTTGAGATGGTTGGCCATTCATCCATTGTCTATACATCAAGCCTACCCCAGCTGACTCAGGGTGAAGGCAGATTCACCAGGGGCCTCATGTACAAGGACTTGCGTGGATTTCATACTGAAACCTGGCGTACGCTTCAATCCTGAAAACTACGTACGCACAAAAAACTCCAGATGAACAAAAGTGAGCGTACGCCGGAATCCAAGCACATTTCCTTTGTACATCTCACTCAGCATGGAATTGACCACACATGTTGGAGTACCAGACTCCTCCCTCTCCACGCTCTCAATTTAAATATGCAAATTAGTATAAACAGGACCGACAGGTGGGATTCCCCTCTCTGCAGGATCAGATAACAGTAACAAGGATGAACTCACCCCATTTGAGCAGAGTCACCGCTATTGTGGGTGACACTGCTCTCACAGGGGTGGTGGGAGCACACGTAGTAGGTCACTCAGCTTTTTTTTTTTTTTTTGTACACACACTTCATGTCATCATGAGTATAACTCACCCTATTTAATTGTATTTTATTACATATTTCATATTTTGATTATATCTTTAGTATTCTTAGTATACCTTGTTTCGTTTTTTTTTTTTTTTTATGTTTATCCTTTGCGGTTATGCTCCTAACATACCTTTCAATTTTATGTCCCTTTTATTTTAAAGAATTTTTAGTTTTACATCTATTCATGACCCATACTGGATAGCTCATCATAATACTTTACTGTCCTAATACTGTCACGGTTTCAAACACAAAGGCTCAAGCGCAGACAAATGTCACGACCACTAAACAGTTGAAAATCAATGATCAAATTTATTCATAAAGACAAATACCAATTGTGAAACCCAGAGGTAAACAAAGCAGCAATCTAACTACTACTAACAAATACTTACAAGGAATTTATCAAAACATCCTCTAGAGGATGACGAACTATAATTAAAAATAAACTTACCACAAGGGATACAAAACTAATATGAACACCACTGATTGAGTAGGCAAGAGACTGGTTAAACCACAATGCTAAATGCTAGGGTGGGGGAGCCGGAGGAGACGGAGATGAACCAGATGACTTCAGCAGAGGGACACAGAGGATATGGCAGACTGGAGCCAGTAGAATCCAACGGTGAGGAGCTGGGGATGAATGATGAATCTCAGAATACAGTGTAGGATAAGGACAGACACAGATGCCCAAAAGGATTCAAAAAACTTCATTTGAACTTTCCAGCACCCAAGTCACATGCCATAAAAAAGACAGAACTATCCTGCAGGTCACAGGGCCATGTAAATCAGCTCTGCAGATTCGGAGGAGTGAGGAAGCAGAGCTCCCTTAGGAATTCCCTTATCACACCTATCAGAGCTTCAAAGGATCTAACACAAAGAAACTTTTGGAGGAAGACCACTCAGACCTTAATAAATGGTTCAGATGGCCAGGCGCAATGAAGTGCCCTGGGCTTAACGTATTGCTCTGCTGACCCCTCATTTCCTGTGGCATGCAACAACTGAACTTAACAACTGAACTTATGGATGAACAATAAGACACAGTACTAAGAGGATGTGCCTTATTATCTTATGTTAAATTTAGTTGTTAAATGTTATGTTATATCATGTCCTGATAAATACTCCAAAGCTTAATTACAGTTGGATAAGTCCTTCTTTAATTTATCAGCTTGTTATATAATCATATATCCCAAAGCTGCATTATCTTTGTAACCGTGCAAGCTAGATGTACCACGTTTGGATTCTTTGTGAACCACTAGATATGACAGATTTATTTTCAGTATTTTTAACTTTGTACAATTGAAAGTACATACAGTTCTGAAGGAACATTGTTACTTTCAGAGCAAAACTCTGACCACCTCATGACCACGTCATGACCTCCCTGTGATACTGGGATGTCATATCTAACAGCCCCTCTGGGAGCGGAGCTCGCTGTGATTGGTCAGTAGTTTTATTATTAAAAAGCCTCTTCACCCGAAAAGCAGTGGCTTCTTCTAACTGCAGGAGAGATGCTCACTTTGTGGCATTCTCTAGTGGCATTCTCTAACTGCTGTAGAGCTGCTCACTTTGGTCCAATGTAGCAACTTCAACTGCCACACTCTGATCCAACTCAAGCTGAAGGCCTCGTCTCTCCATCAGGCATCAGACGTTGCTGCACTCGCATCCCAATCCAAAGACGCGACAAGTGTTGAGCTTTCATCTCTAAACGGGTGTTTCATAATTACAATTGGCCTCTCAACCAATATTCCAAATTTAACAGATTATCTGCTGCTTCGGGTGAAAAGACTTTTAAGTCTGCAAGTCATCACTCTGTTCCACATTAGGTTTTCACACTCATATTCTCAACCAGCATTTTCATCATTGTTTGTATTTTATATTTTATGTTTGTTGTTGTTATTTGTTTGTTTGTTTTAGTTAGTAATAAATGTTGTGTGTGAATACAGTTATTTCCTGTGTTTTCTATAGCTTACATCCAGTCACTTTACGTATCTGATCTTTAGTTACCTTAAGCTCCAAGTTAATCCCCTTAACTTTATAAAACACTCTTGACTGATCACCAAGAGTAAACAATTTATTAGAATTTTTGTGCTGACTCTGAGATTATATCACTGGACGAATAATTCAAAGGTTGGTTAATGCAATCACTTGCTTTGGTGTGGAAATAAGTACATCTTATTTTCTACCACACTAAAACCCTACAACAGCGAGCGTGGAGAAAACTGGAGCGCAGGACAGCAGTGTTAGAAGCAGAACCAAAAAACAACGAGCAGAGTTTTACGAACAAGCACAACACTAACGTTAGTTTACAACGATCCGGCGTCGACTTGTGGCTTGCTGGCATCTTAAATACTGTATGAAGGTCTGTAGAGTGAGTGGCAAGCCACGCCTCGCCGCAGCTGGAGCAACTGGCTAATTGCAACTCCAAACACCTGGGGCCTCATGTACAAAGCGTGCGTACGCACAAAAACTTGGCGTACGCACTTATCCACGCTCACGTTCAGATGTATCAAGAGCGAAATGAACGTGGAAATGTGCGGTCCTCCACGCCAACTTCTTGACTGGCGTACGCACGTTTCT